CCCCTGCCCCGGGCTTCCTGGAATCAGCCGCTGATCAGTTTCAGCAGCAGCTGACTTGGGGATGCCTGGGGTTCTTAAGTTGAATTTGTATGTAAGTCAGAACTGGCATCCAGATTCAGCCGCTGTTGAAACTGATCAGTTTCAGCAGCGGCTGAATCTGGAGGCCAGTTCCAACTTACATACAGATTCAACTTAAGAACAAACCTACAGTCCCTATCTTGTACGTAACCCGGGGACTGCCTGTATTTCAAAATTACTTTGAAATAAACTATGCAATTTGCGTAGTGCAAACTTCATAGCTTAGTTTGAGGTAAAGGTGCTGTGTAGATGCACCCTTAATTCCAGATATTGTTAGTGGTCAAAATATCAATATATTTTTAAAACTCCAGCTATGGCATCTGTTTTGGTGGTGGTCCTAGTGGCAGTGAATCCCACAGACTATGTATGGCAGAAAGAAATATTTCCTTTTAAGTTTGGAATTGCTGAATTACCCTCCCTGAGCTTTAAGAGGATTCCTGAATAACATACATGTATTGAAGAAGGTATTTTTCCTCCCTGTGTATGGACTTATACATACATGTTCACAGGAGAATACACTCAGTTACCTTATTGTTCCCTTAAACTAGTCTACACATGACATTTCTGTCATCACTCCTGGAAGCTCTAAACATGAAAGTAAATAGGATGTAGCCATAAAATTCAGTTGTTCATAGGACAATGATACCATAACTAGAGATTGGATAATGTTATATAAGCCTATAATTCTATAAGTCTGTAATTTGTTTTCTTACTTTTATATTGATGCAGGTATGTATTGTGCTCACTATATTAAAACTAAACAGTTTTCTTCCCCCAAAGGACTAACAGACTAATGGCACAGGCTGAAATGATACAGAACAAACATTACCACGTAGAGACATATACACACTGACATCTTGATGAGACTTGTCAACATTAATTTAAATTAATTAATTTAAAAGGTTAACATTTTGGAAGACTTACTGCTTTCTCTGCCTTCTGTCCAAAATTAAAAGAGAAATAGAGTGTAGTGAACTCTTAACATTGTAGAACACACCTGTACTAAGGAGCTAAAGTAACAGATATCTCAGAGCATAAAAGGCAAGAATTGCTGTCTTTTTCTTTCATCTCAGTTAAGGCTGAGTGTTTCCAGTCTGTTTCATTTGCTTATAATTTCCAAAAGCTTTCACTGTGGGTCTGGAATTCTCATGCCTGGTGTCTTTCTGAGGATGCTTAAAAAAACCCTAATTTTGAGCAAAAGTTGGCCTGATCATGCCCACTCAAAATCTACATGCAGAGGGGAATCCCAGACATGGATTTTTCTCTTCTCTGTGGAAAGATGGCTCAGCTGTCTTCAAGGCAACATACCCCTCAATTGCCACAGGTAACATGAGGGACACTGTAAAGTTCCAGAGATCTGTTTGGAGGGGGAGTGGGCCAAGGATGGATCTTAGCTCTCAGCATAGGGGGAAAGACTTACAAATTGTTCCCCATCATTTGCACTAGCCCTGCAGAGCTCAAAGCAGAAATGTAATACTGCTCAAAACATAGCTCTGACAGGAAGTCATAGGACTTCCTTACTTTGTGGATCCCAGAGCCAGAAGGTAGTGAATTGACCTCCACAGCTTGTTCTTTAGGGAACATGATTTTCCTCTTTAGTTTCTATCCACCTGGGATGAGACAACAGGGCTTTAAATTACTAATGCTTTCTTGGGCCTATACCACTGAAAAATGTAGTAAAAGTTTTCTCAAGTGCTTCACAAATTTTCAATTCCAAAAAGAATAAGTATCCAAACTTTGAATTCTGTGACAACTTTCTCCACATTATAGTTAATGCAAACCAGAAGGTAACCTTTCAAATACTATTGTCATCAAACTTTATAAGAACTTGTACCACCCTGTGTCTCTGAATTGCATCCAAAAGTTCAGAAAGTTAATTCGCTATTTAAAAAATAGCTGCTTGTTTTCATTTAAATAATGTGAAGGGAAGGAAAAGAAGCTGTTCTGGATAGAGTGATTTTTTTAATGTTTTAAATACAGGGTCACAGAAGATACAGAGGTTTTATAGCCCCCCATAAAACAGCACTTTATCTCTTTTTCCACTAATTCCACAGTGTCACATTTAACAAAACTAGGAAACTGCAGATAATATGGATGTTTGCAGATTAGACATCAGGCAATAAATAACACTAATATCACAGGCCTACAAATATAAATGTCCCTTATCATTGTTTAAGCTTCTTACTCTTTGTAATGCTTGCTAACACTTTAACCCTAGCAAATGAGGGTATTGTTTTTGCTGCCTTCTCCCAAAGGCAAAGCACACAGTCATAATATCCTTTTATCAGATTTCCTAGTATAAAAGGACTTTTGATTCCTAAATTCATGCTGTGTTGCTACCAACAGGGTTGGTTTCAGAGTTCCTGTTTCGGAAGATGCATTTGTATTATGTTTTAATCATTTTGTTTCCTCTTTATAATAGTCTAAGTACCCTCTGCCCCAGAAGATGCAACTGCGACTCCATGCAGTCAGTGCAATGCTACAGGGTCCTACAAGTACCTAGAGAGATTCCTGCAACCACAAGGCGACTTTACATCAGCCACAGCAAAATCAAACACCTTCAGGTAGGATAAATACCAGTTTATATAACTCCCATTTTCACTTTAAATCAAATGACCTGTTATGTTTCTATATGGTGGTGACTTCAAAGTCAAACGCAGTGAGAGGTTTATTCCAGCTGCTAATGGTTGGGTACAATTATGCCAGGTCTGAATTTGATTCTCCTATTCTTTATGACTACTAATTAATTATTGTTGTTATTATTATTATTAACATCATTTATTTATTCTGTTTCCATAACCATGGTATCTGACCTATTGTTACTGCTTGGCTGATTTGGTTATGCAATTACTAATCTAGTTATTAAAATCATACTGATCTTACATATATACATTTTATTAATCAATAAGAGAGCCAAATCCTAATAAGTTTTTAAAGAGTCAAACTCTCATTGACTTCTAGAGCTACCGTCTATCTTCACTTAGAAGACATGTTCTTAAATGTAATCAATTCCTTCTTCAGATAAAGAGTCTTACATAAATAAGATAATTTTCTGTGATGAATGTAACAATACTTTCCTGTGAGTAGTACATCTACTATTAAAAACTGCATGGTGAAGGTTTGACTACTCAGGGCCTGATCCTGCATTTCTGAAATCAGTGGGGACTTTTGCATTTAATGTCAATAAATTGTGTCCTAAATGATTTTACTAAACAAAAGCAATCTATAAATGAAGTTCCTATCTATTATTGTGCTGCTCATAAACTGTACAACCATCAATACCAAATGATACTTCAGAATGTGCCACAAGGAAGTATCTTTTCTTTAGTTCCGCAGCAAAAATATTGTTATAATAAATCTAACTTACATGGATAGACAGTAGGGAAATAAAACCATCCACTTTATACATGCTATATGTGCCAGTTATGTATGAATAACTTCCTGAGAAACTGTTTAAAAGAGATACATTTTTATTGAGGTTCCTATTTTACTTTTATTTTTAAGATTCAATAAATTGTGCTAATAATGTCTTGGGATTCCTGTTGTTCAGACTGAAAATAATCTCTATATTGAGAGTAATATTGCAGTTTTACTATACCACACAGTTCACATTTGCTGTTTCCCAGCCATTATTAGTCCTCCAAATTCCTTGGTCATAGATCCAATATCTAGAAGAGTCAAAGCTCACTAGTATACTTTTGATGTAGTGATATAGCCCAGTTAATTAGTTCCCTCTGCAAACATGTCTGTTTGCTCTTTATTAAGAAATATAACAACAAACATGTGAAAGAAAAATTGTATTTACATTTCAAGACAAGTAAGAAAAATTGATCATTCTTTATCAGTTTAATTGCCCATTTCTGTCAAGCTAATGCAGACTTGGGCTATGCCTTTTGAGGAAAAAAACAGGTATTCTTTATAAGACATTTAAATGTTTGCTGTGAAACACATAAGACAAGCAGCTATGCTGCAGTGTAATGAAAAAATGCCAACAAATTATGCCTGAAACCATTTGATCATGCATTTTGTCATTTTATAAATTTCCTGTGCTGAACAATCAGAATACCTTACTTTTATTATTAGGATTGCAATGAATATGGTATAAATTACAGCTTAATAGAATAAATATATTATTTGGGCTGTTTAATTAGGATTATTCTGAGCCTTACATATCTCTTTCATTTTCCTTTCCTTGTGGCAAACTTTGTTTAAAATAAAACGGAGGCCCTGATTTTCTAAGCACATATGCCAATAAATTTCCATATATAAAGTTACATATTTGAGTAATTCCATTTGGGCCATATGTAAATTTTTACAGGGTATTGGTCCAAATTTTGTATTTAAACTAAATGCTTTTTTTCTATAGCAGCTTTAAAGGAAAGCTAAATTATTTTTGATTCCTTGTCTTTCTCACTTTATTGAAATGGAAAGAATTTAAAAAAAAATGAATATACATTTTTATTATTATTCTGTTTTTTCACCTTCTGCATTTTGCTCAGCATGAACAGTGATTCTAGACTGGCTGCTTTCATTTTAATTCATACTCCATTTCTAACTAGATTAATTTATGGTTTACATCTACTTGCATGATGTTACTCTCAGCCCATATTGCCAGGGATTGTGTTAGAAGAATTTGTTTCCACAACATAAAAGTAATAATGAAAATGTTTTTATTCATATGAAGTTTTGTAAAATATTGTTTTCACAAGAGCTAAATTTTTGGATCTCAAACTTGTTGATGATGTCTCTTCAAATTAAAGACTGCTTAGTTAAGCAATAAGAAGCACCATGTACCGAAGAGGGAGCTGGTACTATTTCAAATATGTCTAGGTTTATTAACTTTCATCTGTTTGGTGACTGCAAGAAAGGAGCAATGTATAAGTGTCAGAAACAGAACTACAGATAATGATATTACCAAAGCACACCAAATGGATGCAAAAGACAATTATAATCCATGTTAAGAACCATAATATCTTTCATCAGAGAATGAATGTCTGTGCACTGAAAAAAAGCAAAATGTACTTATTTACTTAACTCTCTCACCTACTAAGATGAAATTAAGCTTCTTAGAAATCTATAGGAATCAACTTAGCAAAAGCTGGAAAAAGTGCACTTGGACCAGAGGAATGGACAAGATATGTCAAGTTTGTGAAAGTTCAGATTTATTTTGACGTCAGTAATGAAGTAGGGTGACCATATTTCCCCATGCCAAATACAGGACACCAAGGTCGGGGACTGCTGTTGCTTGGGGCTTCAGCTCTGTGGGGAGGCAGTGCTTGGGGCTTCAGCCCTGCAGTGGTGGTGGGGCACTCAGGGCTTCAGACCTGCAGAGGAGGGCTAAGGGAGCTGTTGGTGCTCAGGGCTGCAACCCCACAGGGGAGAGGGGGGAAGGAGCTGCCAACACTCGGGAGTGCTCAGGGGTCCAGCCCTAGAGTGGTTGGGAGGAGGAGCTGCCGGCACTGGGGCTTCAGCAGCTGAAGCTCCAAGTGCTGGTGGCTTCCCGCCCACTCTGCTCAACTGAAGGGATGAAGTTCAGCCCCGCAGCATTCAGGGTGGGGTGGGAAGAGTGCTGGGGCTTCAGCTGCTGAAGCTCTGAGTACGGACAGTTCTTCTCTGTCCCCTGTTGCAGGAGAAATAAGGATGATGTGCTAGGGTTGCCAGGTGTCTGGTTTTGAACTGGACAGCCCAGTATTTGAGCTTTCTGTTCAGGAAACAAATTGAGAATATATAAATGTCAGGTATTTTCTAAATAAGAAGTAATGTACACTGTGATGTAATGTCAAGTGTGTCTGGTATTTTTGTTTAAACCATCTGGCAACCCTATAATGTGCCCGGTTTTTTAAAAAAAGTAGGATGCCAGGAACAGCCCTTAAATACAGGACTATTCCAGAAAAAACAGGAAGGATGGTCACCCTAGTATGAAGGGCCTCTATAAACCCTTAATCATCTGAGTGATGCTATTTATTTCAATGGTACACCTTTTGATTAAGGGAACAAGCTATTTTATGGTGGTAATTGAACTAACAGGAAGCTGATGGGAACATTTCCATGCTTATACTCTTTCAATGACTCTATATGAAATTTGTAGTCAAGGAATGACTTTGTAGGAGAGTCATTTGGGAGCTCATTCCTAAGCAGTTGGAAGTTAGCTGACAATTTTGATGAGAATGTAGAATTCAGGCAATATAAAATCTGGCTCACCCTTCAGTAACTCTGTGGTGTTAATAAAAGTAAAATTTGGATTTTGGAGGTAAATGGATATGATCCAAGGACACACAGGAATTATATATGAGTAAAATGGTGTGTGGTTATAATTGTTTTTCTAACAACAGCTTTACTTTAAGATGCACAATGAATGTATGACTGTAGCCTGTCCTGTCAGGTTCAAAGAACAGAGAGCATAGATACTACCCAGTACATCCTCTGAAACAATTCCTATTGACCAAAGCAGGATTTGACAGGGCCAGAGAGATGTGGTGTTGAGCATGTTTTTCTGAGTAGGAGCTAAGAGTATCTCTAACTAGTGAATCCTTGGAGAAGTGGTGTGCTTATGTCGCATTAGCTGGACATCTCTACCTACTGCTCTTGAACCAGCCACAAATTGGACCTAAATAATAAAATAGCATTCCAGACCTGCAGACAAGCAGCAGTTGAAATGCACATGTCTGCAGTAATATCTGTATTCATTGTGTGTTGTTTTCTGTGCAGTTTATCATTAATCATATTGTAGGAATAAACATTAGCAATAGTCAGATCATATATAAAAGTAAAAGCTAGTAAGGAGGTTCCATAAACTGGATAGTATATTATCACATTAATTTGCTCTGTTTTCTTTTTTCTTCTAAGATCACTGACTTCAGCAAAATATCTTGCCTGGAAGAGCTTATCTTGTCTTGCAGTGGAACAGAATTGGTAGAAGATAATACGTTCAAAGCTCTGAGCACCTTGAAGAGCCTAGAACTCTGGAAGAATAAACTAAGGCGTGTACCCACTTTCCTCCCATCCAGCCTTGAAATATTAAAACTTGGTGGCAATTCAATTAGTGTTCTGCATGAATCAGACTTTGAAGGTTTAAAGAAATTAAGAGTGCTTGATATTCAAAACAACTTGATTTTGGCAGTCTCTTTCAGCACACTTTCCCCCCTTTGCAGTTTACAGAGTCTGACTTTGGATGGCAATAATATAGAATCTGTGTCTGGGCCACTTACACTTCCCAGACTGAAGTATCTGAGTATGGAAAATAACAAATTACATTCTTTCTCAGGCAGCTTCTTTGCATCACTCCAATATTTACAGTTTCTCAGATTAACTGGCAACCTTCTGACTAAGGTCCCTCTTAACCTGCCTAAGTCCCTGCTTTCATTAAAACTAGAGCGAAACCAACTCAAAGTGATACGATTCCGAGACATGAAACATCTGGAAAACCTGTCTGAGCTTTTCCTCTCAGAAAATCAGCTCTCATCAGTTGATGGCGCTCAACTTCTTCCTAACTTAACCACCCTGGAGCTGTCCAGGAACCACCTCCAAACCATGCCACTCAGACTACCAGCCAGACTACAGAAACTTGACTGTAGCAATAACTTCATTCGGAGAGTGACAGCCCAGGGCTTCCAGGATCTACGAGACCTCAAGCATTTGTTTCTTGACAACAACACAGTCAGCATGTTTGAGGCTGGAGCACTTCATGGGTGTGCACAGCTGTCTAACCTGGCACTGGAACAAAACCTGCTTATTTCTATTCCATTAAGGCAAGTGAATTGGAAGACTGCTGGGATTGAAGGTTGTCATCGTCTCTCCACATGCTGCCTTACTTGGCAGAAATGGGTTGGTAGTTGTAGAAGGTGTGGGAGCAGCAGCTCCCCTGCTTCTCTCCCCTCACTTCTGAAGTTTGGTTTCTATCACTATGGAGTGGGGAGGAAGGGGCTGCTTTTTATGGCATCATGCCCCTGCTAAGCTATTGGGACTTATCTGTGAGAGTTAATGCTGACCGAGTTGGTGTTAGCTCTCATCGTTCACCCCCTCTAAGACTTTCCTCTACTGTCCTGAAGTCCATGGCATTTCTCATTGATCTTTGGACATCTATATGTTCACTTAATCTCTTCCTCTTCCTGCTCCACAGATGTATGTGGGATGGGGAGGAAGCTCTGTCTCCTGATAACGAAAAGATCTGCAGCAAACTTGATAAACTGAAGTTAGTAGTTTTTTGGGACAAATGTAGGTACAGTTGAACCTCTCTGGTTTGGCAACATGTTACTAAATCAGAGAATCCTGGTGGCAGCCAACAGGGGCTGGCTGGGAGTCCAGGAGCAGAGGGACCAGTAGCTGAAAGCAGAGGTGGGCTGGGCAGCCAGGAGCATAGCTGGGCCAAGAGCAGAGCTGGGCTGGCAGCAGGGCCCATTTGGCAGCCTAGCTGCAGAGACCCAGCTGGGTCTAGCAGCAGGATTGGCAGCTGGGAAGGGAACTTAGGAGCAGGGGCTGGCAGCCAGGAGAAGAGCCTGCTGGGAAGGCTGACTGCTCTCCAGGGGTATGTCTACACTACCCTCCTAGTTCGAACTAGGAGGGAACTGGGCAAGTTTATGCAAATGAACCATTTTTAAATCCCTGCTCGTTAAATCCCTAGATAGTTCGGACTAGGCTTCCTCGTGGAATGAGGAGTAACGGTAGTTCGGACTAGGAAGCCTAGTCCGAACTACCTGGTTCGTGCCGTGTGTAGTCGCACGGCACGGGGTTCGAACGAGCAGGGATTTAAAAATGGCGGCGCCCAGTTTATGCAAATGAAGCCCGGGAAATTCAAATCCCGGGCTTCATTTGCAAGTGCGGTATGCCTACATTACCCCACTAGTTCGAACTAGCGGGGTAGTGTAGACATACCCCAGGAGAGCCTGGAGGTCAGCAGCATAGGTGTGGGAATTGACCTCCCCTGGTCCAGCAAAATTCCTCATTTGGGACTGGTCAGGTCCTGAGAGTGCCGGACTAGGGAGATATTTAGGCAGGGATCTGTGAATCCCTCATAACCGTTAGCTCAGTAGTCAGAGTTCTTACCCTGCACATGGGAGATGCTGTTTGTAATCCACTTTCTGCCTGATGAGGTGAAGGAAGTTGAACAAGAAATGTTCACCTCTCAGGTTAGTGCAGGGACAGGCAAAATATAGCCCATGGGCTGTATCCAGCCTGCCAAACATTTGGATCCAGCCACGCTATTCTGGGCTGCCAGTGCCCTTGTGCAGGGTCCCTGCCTGCCACAGCCTCACACATCACCCAAAGCTCTTGGGGCCAGCATGTGCATTTCTGTGTGATGTATGCCATGGGGGGAGGGCCATCTTCATGACTTGCTTTCATCCACAAACAGCCCAGGCAGCTCCCATTGGCCAGTTTCTGCACCCCAATATCTTCCCCCAGGTCAGAATCCCCTTTTTCTCCAGGTCACAACCCAAACCCTTTGCACTCCTTCCTGGACCCCTACCCCTGGTTACAACTCCACTGCTGTAACCAAAAGGGTCAGGGTGGTGAAGGAAGCCTCCCTTGCAGCCGTTAGCCCAGTGGTTACTCACCTATAATGTGGAAGACCGCTTGTTCAAGGATTCTGTCTAATGGGAGCAGCGGGGAAAGCCTCCAGTTGAGCAGTTTCCTGTGATGCCTTTCCCCCAGCCAGGAGGAGGGGAAGCAGCAGCAGCGCATGGAGCCACTTCCTTCCCCCTGCAAGATGGCACACATCTAAACGAGGCCCGCAAGGCTTGGGGCCCGTAAGGCTTGGGGCTCCCCCTATGCAGCAGGAAGCTAGCGCTGGCACTCCAGCCTCAGGGGTGTGTGTGTGTCAGTGTTCCCTCTAAGATTTTCCATCCATGAGCAGAGTGAGTTTTGTCTTGTGCACCAATACTGAGGTCACATGCACTTGTTTAGATGTGTGCCATGGTGGCATCCACTAGTGACACTGCTTCCCGAGAGACTCTTCCAGCGCAGAGACCCCAGCCTGCCCTCCACCCATTGCTGGGCCCCCAAGCTCTGTTTCCCAGGCAGCAAACCCCTCCACCGCTTAGGGAGAAGGCGAGACCTGTTTCCCCTTCCCCCCAGGGCAACCTAGGTGCAGGGAAAGGGCTGTCCTAGGCTGCTCCCCACGGCGCTGGCTGCAAGTCCCCACCTGGGCCAGAGTGGAGCTGCTGCCAGTGCCCAAGGTTTGCAGAGAGGAGGGTGCTGGAGCAGCAACATGTGGGGACCTGGAGGGGGAGAGGAGCCAGCAGGGGGCTGAAGAGGGCAGATGGCTCTGAGAGCCAGAGGGCAGTGATGGGGAAAGAGAGGGGAAGAGGGATGCAGGGAGCCTCAACCCCAGCAGCAGCCACAACCAGCTCCACCCCCTACCCTGGCTCCAAGAACAGCCACACCACAGCCCAGCTCCAGCTCTGGCAGCTGCCTGCCATCAGCCACCATGCAGACCTGACCCCAGCTCCAGCCCTTTTCCCAGGGCTACCCAGCTGCTCCCAGGACAGGGATGCATGGCAGATAGCTGCCCCATGAGCTGGGTCTGGAGCCAGGGTCGCGGTGTGTTTGCTCTTGGGGCTCAGGCCATAGTGAGGCCCAATGGGGAAAATACACTGTGTCTTCAGCCCCAGGAGCAGCCACACAGCAGCTCTGGCTCCGGATCCAGCAGCTGCCATGCAGCCTACTCTAGCCCCCCAGCTCCAGCCCCAGGGAAGGGCTGAAGCTGGAGCCAGGGCTGCATGGCGGCTGCCCAACAGCCCTGGCCCCAAGGGTGCCATTTTGGGAGGTTGGAGGGGGGCAGCAGCCCTGCACTCCGGGATGTGGCCAGCTTTTCATCCCGTCCTCCGGATGCTAAGGGAGTGAGGGAAAGTGCTTGCAATCCGTGCATGCCTCTTACTTCTGGTTGGTGAGTTCCCTTCACCAGCCAGGTATACCGGTAGTTCAAATTAGAGATCCTAATTTGAACTACCTATTCCATGCCGCGTGTAGCCACGGGCACGGAGTTTGGACTAAGGGGGATTTTAAAATGGCGGCGCCTGGGAATATGCAAATGAAGCCCGGGATATTTAAATCCCGGGCTTCATTTGCAACCCCGGTTGCCCTCATTTGCTTACCTAGCTCGAACTAACGAGCTAGTGTAGACATACCCTTAGTGTCTGGGGAACGGGATGAAAAGCTAGCCATGTTCCGAAGTTAACGGCTGGTAGGCTCTCAAAATGGTACCCTTGCCTGGCCCCCCACTTTCCCACCACGCCCACCAGCAGCAGGTCTCTATCCTCAGAGACCAAGGAGAACAATTTTTCTCCCTCCTCCTTGTAACACCTTTTTAGATACTTGAAAACGGCTATCATGTGCCCTCTCAGTCTTCTCTTTTCTAAACTAAACAAACCCAGTTCTTTCAGTCTAGGCTCTCAAAATGGTACCCTTGCCTGGCCCCCCACTTTCCCACCACGCCCACCAGCAGCAGGTCTCTATCCTCAGAGACCAAGGAGAACAATTTTTCTCCCTCCTCCTTGTAACACCTTTTTAGATACTTGAAAACGGCTATCATGTGCCCTCTCAGTCTTCTCTTTTCTAAACTAAACAAACCCAGTTCTTTCAGTCTTCCCTCATAAGTCACATTCTAGACCTTTAATCGTTTTGTTGCTCTTCTCTGGACCTCCTCCAGTTTCTCCACATCTTTCTTGAAAAGTGGTGCCCAGAACTGGACACAATACTTCAACAGAGGCCTAATCAGTGCAGAGTAGAGTGGAAAAATTACTTCTCCTGTCCTACTCACAACACTCCTCTTCATGCATCCCAGAATGATGTTTGCTTTTTTTGCAAACATGTCACAAAGGTGAGTGCTGCTGTGTGGTTCTGCTGAGGAGGTGGGTGGGATTAAAATTCTTTGTGCAGGTGCACAAAGAGAAAACTTAGGTGTGTCTGGAGCTAGAGCATCAGTTTGTACTCCCTGCTGCAGGGATGGGAGCCCTGATCCCACAGCCCACCTGCAAGATAGTAGTAATCCACAGACAACGTAATTTTAAAAAGATATATTGGAGATTTTTATTTTTAACTGTGCAGTGAACATAAATTCCAGGGGAACACTTTAAAAACACAGATAGGGAGGATGAGTAGACTTATATTCTATATGCTTTATTTTGTGCACCTATCACTTAGTACCTGAGTATATGTACAAAAATGAAAATAAGATTTTGATGGTTATTACAATGATGATGACAGAAGATGCCATACTGGAAGTCTGAATATGTAGAGAGCTGATGACAATCCCAGTTCAACACTTTAGTATATGCTTAATAGATTTAAGCACTTGTTTAAGGCCCAGACCGACAAAAGTACTCAGATGCATAACTCCCATATTTAGGGGCCACTGCAAGCCATAATAAGATCCTGCTTAAGTGCCACCTAAGTGCCCCTTGCTTAAGTGTCACAGGCACCTGAACTCACTCAGCAGCTAAGATTTTATAGTAAAAGAGTATTTCTGTAGGGTCTGTGTATTGTTGTCTCAATTTCAGCATTGGATGGTAATCTGTCACCTAAGCCACATTGAGATCCACGGACCAGTGGAATATAGCTGATCCTCTATTTAACTCACTTGCAGGGCTGACCCAGTAGGTGTGCTCAGAGGCGAATGTCACACAAAATAGTTTAACAGAGCAACAGGAAAGCAAACATCTGTCTTTAGTCCAGTGGAAGGGAATTTACCTGGGATGTGAGAGAGACAAGGCTCAAGGATCACAGCTGCCTGATGAGGAGAAAGCATCTGAACGAAGATCAGTCATTTCTCAGATGAGTGCCCTAACCCCTCAAACATGAGATGGATAGTCTGAGATGGGTCTCCCTCTATGGGTACGTCTACACTAGCCCCCTAGATCGATCTAAGGAGGCTAATGAGGGTGACCGGAATTGCAAATCAAACCTGGGATTTAAATATCCTGAGCTTGATTTGCATGTTCCCGGCCGGTTGCCATTTTAGTAATTGACTAGCCCGAAGTAAATGCCCGCGTCTATACGCGGCAGTGAAACGGGATTCTGATTTAAAGCCCTAACTCGAATTAGCTGGTATTCCTCCTGCAATGAGGTTTACTAGCTAATTCGAATTAGGGGCTTTAAATCGGAATCCCGTTTCACTGCCGCGTGTAGACGTGGGCAGTTACTTCGGGCTAGTCAATTTCTAAAATGGCAACCAGCTGGGAACATGCAAATCACGCACAGGATATTAAATCCTGGGCTTGATTTGCAATTCTGGTCACCTTCATTAGCCTCCCTAGATCGATCTATGGGGCTAGTGTAGACGTACCCTATCTCTCATATTGAAGATTGATGTTACACTTTAATTCAATATTAATTGGGCCAAAGAGTGAGAATCACTCCATAATCTAGTGATTAGGATGTTTCCCCAAGGATGTTTCCCTTCCATCAAAAGAAGTTGGTCCAATAAAATATATTACCTCATCTATCTTGACTCCATCAGATTTCATTCAGTTACTCATGTGTTTTTAACAAATCAGGCAAGGACCATTTATATTTTTTCTTGTAGTTGTTTTTTCAAATAAAATATATCGTCATATACATACACAATTTCTTTTCATGTGCTTCCTACTTGATGTGCTCAAGCTCTGAATCTGATGCTAACTCCCTTTTCTCCCACCCCAATTTTCTAATCAATGTATTATATTGCACAAATTTTCAAATGAAATAATCCAAAGAATAACAAAGGGAGCAAGCCTTCAGGCATCTCTAGACTTTTTTATGTTTGGCACTACTATAAATTGGCTTTGTGTATGTCTATGACATGGGACACCATGTATCTGCTTCTAAGTTTATTTAAAGCCCAGTTTGAATAAAATATTTTTCTAAGTAGGACTAAAATTGTTCTTTATTTCAATTTTATGCATTTAGTATACATCCAAACTGTATTAGTTTGGGAAAAAAATTCAAATGCAAAAAGATGGTAGACCTGCCACTTATCTTAACAAATCACGCCTAAGTAAATCTCAGACAAATAAAGCCCAAATTTTACATAAGAATGTTTCAGGACCACAACTCTTCTGTTACTGGTCAAATATTTAAATGGTGGATAACAAAGGGTGATTGCTTTTTCAAAGGCCATCTATATGTAACTTTTAGTTTCCCTCCCTGCATAATCAACACTAGCAGAATCAGTAAGAAAAATATATATACCTTGTTTTGTTTTTGTTCAGACTTCCAGATACTCTAGCCAGGTTGGATCTAAAAGGAAATGACATACAGGATGTTGGAGAACGAGAGCTAAAGGACCTGAAACAGCTCCAGGTTTTAAATCTACGGAACAACAAGATATCTGCCTTGGATCGCAAAGTCCTAGAATATTTGCCACGTCTCAGGTATCTGTATTTGGATGGAAACCCTTGGAATTGCACTTGTGACCTTCTGAGAACCAGAAGAGTGCTGATGGCCAAAGGGACTGATGTCAAAGGAGGACAATGTGCAGCACCAGCAGAAAGGCAAGGAGAAAGCTGGATGTCTTCCAAAAAGATTCTGCAGGGTTGTGAAGATAACCTATCTTCAGCTGAACAAAGCAAAGAGGTCAAAAAGAAAATGAAGGTTGATGACCTTTCCAATGAAGGTTTAAAGATGGATGATGATTATTATGATTATGAAATAGATTAATCATGTAATTACGATGAACTTTAGAGTTGTTTTTCTTAATTAAGCAATCATCTTTGCAAACGAAGAACCTGCTAGGCTACCATTGACATTTCATTTTTTATTTCGTATTACAAGACTTAGGGTATGTCTACACAGCTAAGTTATTTCAGGATACCAGAGGTATCCTGAAATAATCTTTTGAACGCATCCGCTATTTCGAAATAGAGCAGACGTGCTATTTCGCCATCCCTGTAAACCTCATTCTACGAGGAGTAAGAGATGGCCTGAAATAGCACTTTATTTTGATATTTGGCACTGTGTAGCTAGTGCCTAATGATGAAATAAACTATTTAAAAATAAACTTGAAATAAGCTACATAATTTGTATAGTGCAAATTGCGTCTCTTATTTCAAGTTTTAGGTGCTGTATAGATGCACCCTTAGTGGTTTGGAGCAGGTGGGGATGTAAGGTGTTCTGAAAATTGCAAGATGCTGCTTTTAAAAAAAACTGCTTTGCTGTGTGATTCATATTAGATGTTTGTAGGAAATGAATACCAATACTAGCAGCTAGAAAAGTGTGGCACAGTCAAACAAAATAGTGACAGTTAACAGAGTTTGCAGATTTGCTAATTCTGCATAGGGCTCAGTCAAGTGTGCAAATAGTTCCACAGAAGTCTTGTAACAAAAATCCTACCCTACTCACATGATGCTGTTAATTTGAGATTCAACCCATTTACAGGGGCATTGCTGTAATTTCCAGAACAAGAAGCCTGAAGTTGGAAGATTTTCTGTATGTACTCAGACTGGTAGATGCAGCTGTTCAGCAATGTTCAAATAAAAATTGCCTTTGAAAAATTAAATTTTCAAGAATGACTTGCCCTCTTTAATTGACCTATACCACTTGGTTTAAAGAAGAATTAGTTGAGGCTTATATTCAGGTGTAATCCACTTGTCTATTTTTATAGCAAATACAACAGAGAGAACAGTTGAATGGAACATGTACATTGTTCTGTTCAGTCACTTTTATTTACTGGCTCTAATTTTGTGTACATGAACCAAAAGTTTGGGATTAAATGTGACTTGACTATATCCCTTTAAAATAGGGATGTTAAAAATGGTCAATTGGGTAAACGTGTAACCACTGAAAATCTCAGTAGAGATACACAGCAATAAAAGGTGCAAAGGAAAATACCCCCTCACTTAGTGTAACAGATCCAGTATGTTATTTTATGAAATAAAAATAACACAACAAATTATTTAAATTGAGTACTAGGCAAGAGCTGAGGAAGATTGCAAGTACCAGGTTAAATAGCATAAGGTTAAATTCAGAAGTGATGCAAGTTACAAGTTTATAGATTTTTTTAAAAGATGAAATGCTCTCTATGCACTTTATCTTACACTTGTTACATTTTTAGTAGGTCCAATGGTATGTATAGTTGACCAATTTACACATATAGTTTGGCTTCCAACAGCTAAATTTAACATGAAGGTGAAGAGGCTGTAATCTCTGACACTGTGAATATAATATATGCTATTTGGGGGAACAGAAAATACAAACATCCGAATTAATGTGGGGATTATCCTGGATCAAGAAAAAATTATAATTTGCAACTTTAATTTTATTAAGGTGAGAGGCTTTCCATGGGTTGGAATGTCCCAGAATTGAGACAAAGGGACTTTATGATATAAACACCAGTTCTGATATATTCTCCTATGCTCCACTCCGAGCACAAGGGTTTAAGAAATGCAGATCTTACTGAATAGTTTCCAAAGTACTTGAAAATCAAACAGAACAGAAATAAAGACACTACAAACTAGTGAATTACAAGCAACAATGGGGGAGAAGGGTTTCCTGTCAGTTCATAAATCTCAGTTGATAACTGAGCAGTGATAGCAGCAAATTACTTTCCAAAAGAGTCTCAATTATCCACTGTTTGCTGCTGCCATTCAGTTACTGAATAATCACTCACGTTCATAAAGTCTGTTTTTTCAGGTGTCAGAGTTCAGTTATTTGGTTATGTCATCTACGAAAGTATCAATAGCATTCTTAATTAGAGTTTTATAGGTTACATAACTAAATACAGTGACATGAGGAATTTGGAGGAGTGGTTCAACTCTTTTTAACAAGACAGACTAATAAATATTGTTGGTAAAGAGATGTTTATGGCAGCAATATGTTTAGGCAAACAATCTTAGTGGTTACTAGGTGACTTATCTGCTTATATTGGATTGTGTATTAATTTAAAAAGTCCAAAACTACTTTTTTCTGAATAAGAAAATAATTTTATTTTATTAATTCTCAATCATTGTTTATAATGATAAAACAAGTTGATAAAAGAATCTTAGTGACCGCGTAGTTATCTCAGGGCATCCAGCCCATCCTACTATTAGAATGTATCAGTCTGACAACAAAGGATTTTCTCAGTGGCACTTGCTCTCTCCTTTGAGAGACACAAGATATGTTACAGGCAGTCTACAGATTTTTGTAAGCACAAGTTGCAGGAATCCAGTAGGGATTTCTTTTGACAGACATTATTCATACAAAGTGTGGTATAATACCAGAGTACTGAATTCAATGGCACCATTTGCCTTTGGATCAGAACAATTAGTCTAAGTTTTTGATTCTGGATGAGAAATAGCAGTGGCATATGCAGACTGGGATACTTTGGTGGGGCCCGATTTTAGGGTGGGCAGGCAAGGAAAGGAAGGTAAGGCAAAAGCCATCAGGGCCAGTACCTCTCCCAATAAAAGTGCACCCCCACCTACGCTGTCCCCTCTCCCAGCACTCCAGCCAGGGAGTTGGACTGGGGGCTTGCCCTGATCCGTTTGAAATTCCAGGGCAGTGGAGCTTGCCCAGCTCCAGCAGCAAAGAGGGGGTCAGGTTTCAAGGGCTTGTCCTGCTCTGCCTGCCTGACATTCCTGATGGGGAGCAGGGTTGGACCGTGGGGGCTTGGCACATTCTGCCCATTTGGCACTCCTGCAAGATGAGAGGTCAGACTGTGGGGGCTTGGTCTGCTCTGCCCGCCTAGCGTTCTTGCCAGGGAGCAGGGTATTTACAATTATTTTTAAAAGCTCTTCTCAGTTTATCACTTTTTCCATGACTCAGTTTTTTAATATACTTCCCACTGTCTTTGTGTTGAGACACTTTTACTGTCAACCCTCAGCATGTGCTTCCTGGGACAAGATTCAAAGGCAAAACCGTGCATGTTGGACCTAAATCAGCAGCCACAAGGTTTTACTCCTTTTAAAATAAGAGCTCTTTTGATTAATTTTCTTTAAAAAGCGATGTTTTGTTTAACCAATAGAGAGCACTGGGATAATTGGCACATCTATTGAAACATATAAAGAGTAATACTCAGCTCTTGCATTGTGCTCTCAAAATGCTTTTCAAAGGAGGTTGATATCATTATCTCCATTTTACAGACGAAGAAACTGAGGCACAAAGACGTACAGGGCACTGCACATTTCTAAAGAATGAAATGGAAGAAAAAGCAGCAGCAGCTGCGATAGATGGGGGAAATAGACTGAACTTACAGATCTTACATTCAAGAGGGTAACACGGCTTCTCCGAAAACTCACAGGCTACGTCTTCAAAGTAAGAATAAGAGCCTCCGGAAAAGGGCACTTTTTCCGGAGGATCGGGGCCAGTCTAGACGCTCTTTTCCGGCTTTTTTAAAAGCCGGAAAAAAGCGGCGGACATTTTTATTTAAATGCCGCGGGGGGTATTTAAATCCCCCGCGGATTTCCCTACGACGACTAGTGAAATTTACATGCCCCTTCCGGAAAAGGGGCCAGTGTAGACGTAGCCACACAGTCTGACATTATCAAAGAAACGAGATCTTTCAGCCTTTCACAAAAGGTGATTAGACACTGCAATGCTCAGCCCTACTAGCCCTGCAACACGAGCCTTTAGGTACCTAAAAAAAATCACTCAAAACGCGGACCACAAAAGCCAACATGCTGGACTGGGAACCACCTAAAGGGTGTCCCTTGAGCTCTGCTCCTCTCCTGGAGCCAGGTGCCGGACACAAGGCTGACACAGTGACCCACAACACGGGAGCCCCTTTTGCCGTGTCCAGCACCGGAGACACCTCAGAGGTTTCTTGTGACGATGAATTAAGCAGCAAAATTAAGACTCGCAGGGAAAATGCTGCATCCGCGGGGCTAGAGCCCCCGCTTCGGTCCCCCGCGCTGCCTTGCGGCGGGGTGCGAGGCGGGCTCTGGCACTTGGCAGAGCAGCTGGAGGGCCCGCTACAGACGATGCCGGGCGTGGCTATTCCGCAGCAAAGCGCTTGGTCCCGGGCTTCGGGCTGGGAGGC